TGGTAAACCAACTACAAAATCCATTGCTATACTGTCCCATTTCCATTCAGGTATATCTTAAGGTTGCAACATCCCTGCTGGCTTTTGGTGTTCTATCTTGGCCTTCTGACAAATCAAACATGTAGCCACATATTGTGCTATTTCCTTTTTCATTTTGGGCCACCAAAACATTCTTTTGAGATCCTGATACATCTTTGTTGCTCCAGGGTGTATGCTCAACTTGCTCTTATGTGCCTCCCCTAAAATTATTTTCTTAATTTCAGAATCATTAGGCACACATATTCTATCACTAAATCTCAAAACTCCCTTTTGATCTATATTAAACTTTTCACCACCCTTTTGTCCCAACAATCTCTTTTTCTTTTGAATGAACTTATCAACTACCTGAGCCTCACCAATTTGTCCATGTAAGTCACTAGTAATTCATCTCCAAATCTCTGAACCCTCAATGAATCTCCGATAGTAACCCGCCAACCCAACAAAACTCCTAATCTCTGTAGCAGTCTTCGGACGTTCCCACTGAATCACAGCCTCCACCTTGGCTGGGTCCACTGCAATTCCCTCTGCCGATATCACATGCCCCAAAAATTTTACCTCAGACAACCAAAACTCACACTTGGATAGTTTGGCATACAATTATTTCTCCTTCAACTCCTCCCAAACTGACTTCAAATGCTCACGATGATCCTCCAATAATTTAGAATACACCAAAATATCATTAATGAAGACCACCACAAATCTGTCTAAGAACGGTCTGAAAATCCTGTTCATGTAATCCATGAACACTGCTGGAGCATTAGTGACACCAAAAGGCATCACCACATACTCATAGTGACCATACCTAGTCCTGAAAGCAGTCTTTGGTATGTCACTCTCCTTCACCCTGATCTGGTGGTATCCGGATCTCAAATCAATCTTTGAAAATACTGAAGCTCCTTTTAGCTGATCCATTAAATCATCAATCCTCGGAAGTGGATATTTATTCTTTATCGTTAATTTATTCAACTGCCGATAATCAACGCACAAACGAGCCCCACCATCCTTCTTCTTTACTAATAATACTGGGGCACCCCAAGGAGAAACACTAGGCCTCACCATCTGTTTCTCCAACAAATACTCAATCTGTTTCTTCAGCTCTACCAACTTTGCTGGAGTCATCCTATAAGGAGCCACTGATACCGGTCCTGCACCAGGTACTAGATCAATGCTAAACTCAACATCACGCATAGGTGGCAATCCCGACACATCATCTGGAAACACCTCAGGAAATTCACTGACAATCTCAATCCCAGTGATAGCTCTCTCTGTCTCAATACTCAAAGCTGCAAACAACATAAAGCACTCAGCTCCATCTCTCATCAACTGCTCAGCCTGTACCGCTGATACTAACACCTCATCCTCTAACTGAGGAAATACCAACTCTCTCCTAGCACAATCTATAAGGATGTGATGGGCAGATAACCAATCCATCCCTAAGATTATATCAATATCCACCATAGGCAATACAATCAGGTTCACTCGGAACCTTCTACCAAACACCTCTATCGGGCAACCCACACACACCTCCGACGTAACTACAGAAACTGAAGCCGGAGTAGACACAGACAAATCAACATGCAATGCAGACATTGATAAACCCAATCTCCCCACACAATCAGCAGATATAAATGAGTGTGTACCACCAGAATCAAACAAGATATAAACCTCTGTACCTGCAGCTCTACCCTTCCCCTTCACCAAGGCTGGTGAGGTGGAAGCCTCTGCTCCTGACAAAGCAAAAACTCGCCCTGCTGCTCTAGGTCGCTCCACCCTCTGAGAATCTACAGACTGACTTGCCCCAACTGGGCAATCCTTGGCCAGATGGCCAAATTTACTGCATCTAAAACACTTGGGCTGTGTAGAAGGGCAGTCTCTGACAATATGTGGTCCACCACACCGATAACATCGAATAGCCTGAACTCCACCCTGAGGAGTAGTAGAACGAGGTCCCCTACTAACAGTTCCTCTCTGAGACTGTACGGGTCTGTCATAGGGTCCCCTCTGCTGGCCTCCCCTCCTCGACCCAGATGATCCCTCCTGAACTCTAGCAGCCTTACCACTGCTACCACCACCCTCCAAACTCTCAACAGTCTTTGCCTTCTCAACCAAGGCAGGAAACTCCACTATAGACATAGGGACTATGACCCTCTTCAGCTCATGCCTCAATCCATCTGCAAACTTTCTACATCTCCAAGCCTCAGATATGGCCTGAGATAGAAACGAGCTAGATACTCAAACCTCATAGCATACTCAGAAACAGACAAGCTCCCCTGATGTAGTCTCATGAACTCTGCCTCCTTAGCGTATCTAACGCTGTCTGGAAAATATTTCTCCAAAAAGACCCTCCTAAAACAATCCCAATCAATAAGTACACCCTTGCTCTCTAACATCTGCCTGGTGCCTCTCCACCAGTACTCAACCTCGCCCCCCAGCATGTAAACTGCATAAGCTAACTTTCTCTCATCAGAAGATCCCAAAACACTGAAGATCTTCTCCATCTCCCTCAACCACTGATCTGCCACATCAGGATCTGAATCCCCTCTGAACTGAGGAGGCTGACATCCCCTAAACTTTGCTAAATCTCTCCCCTCCTGAGAGACTACCGGTCTAGCTGCCTCAGCCGCAGCTCTACTTGTCTCCATCTGAGCAAAGTGAGCACTCTGCTGCTGCATCGCCATGGCTATCATCTCCATGGCCCTAGCAATCTGGTCATACTGGGGTCTTGCCATACTACAAGAATTCAAACATCCTGGCAGCTAGTTCTAGATCATGGGTTGGGTAATTCTTTTCATGAGCTCTCAATTGTCTAGAAGCATATGCTACTACTCTTCTATCTTGCATAAGAACACACCCTAATCCCATTTTTGAGGCATCACAAAATATGACAAATTGTCCATTAGGATTGGGTAAGGCTAAGACTGGTGTAGTGGTTAATCTTTTCCTAAGCTCTTGAAAACTATTCTCACATTTTTCTGTCCACTCAAAGGGTTGTCCTTTCTTAGTTAGTTGAGTTAAAGGCATAGCTATTTTAGAAAATCCCTCAATGAATCTCCTGTAATATCCTGCCAAACCCAAAAAACTACGGATTTCTGTTACCGTCTTTGGAGGTTCCCATAGTAGAACTGCTTCTACCTTAGATGGATCCACAGACACTCCATCTTTGGAAATCACATGTCCTAAAAACTTAACCTCCTCTAACCAAAATTCACACTTAGAAAGTTTGGCATACAGTTGTTTATCTTTCAGGATTTGGAGAACAGTTTGAAGGTGTTCTTCATGCTCTTCATGAGTTCGAGAATATATGAGGATATCATCTATAAAGACCACCACAAAATGGTCTAAATACGGACGAAAAATCCTATTCATATAATCCATGAACACTGCAGGAGCATTAGTTACTCCAAAAGGCATCACTTGATATTCATAATGACCATACCTTGTTCTAAATGCAGTTTTCTATATGTCTTCTGCTTTCACTTTGATTTGATGGTATCCTGATCTTAAATCTATCTTAGAAAACACAGTGGCTCCTCTCAATTGATCCATCAAATCATCTATCCTAGGAAGAGGGTATTTATTCTTTATGGTAAACTTATTTAATTGCCGATAGTC